TGTCTGACACACAAATAGTTCCCCCTTTAAATGAGCTAGAAACTAACAAATTAAATCTCTGCCTGCTTTTGACTAACAGGAGCATCTACACTACACATTGTGCTCTCCTTAATAAGCAGGTACAAGGGGCAGTCTGGGAGGCAGTGGTTTGCTCTGATTTGCTTCCATTTCATTAAGGATGAAAGAAGGCATTTGGTGTCATCCCACTGAAGGTGTACTTCCAGGGGTAACTTAACATTGTTTTCATCTAGCCTAAGTGTAATACCACAAGGGATGTTGAAGGGGGAGCCCTGCCAATACCTTCAATCCATGTCCACAGGAAGGCACGACTTGAATTCATTTATTCATTCACTCACTCATTCAACAAATATAATTTAAGCACATGCCAGGCACTGGGTCTGATGTTGCAAATATAACAATGAGCTAGAGAAACACACTCCCTTACCACTTGCTCCCCACACATATCTGGGCTTACACTATCCCATCGTATGAAACTTGAGCAAAAATGAACATGAAGGCAACAGTTTTTCTATCCAACTGACAGTTATTAGCAAAGGAGGGAGCTAGTATCTTCCTCACAGAAATCAGAATGTCAGCACTACTGGAAGTGTTGAAATAAGATTAGAAAGAAAGACCTTACTTGGCTTACTTCAGTGGTAAAGTCAAGACTAGAACTCAGCCTTTCTACACCTCCCCACGGGGCCTCCTTCCCCATCCAAGTTTGCTTCAGAGAAAGAAGTCTAATTTTTTTTAATGATGGATGCGCAGCTTACATCACGATGTAGTTAATGATAAAAGCAAGACTTCAATGCACGCATACTTTAAATAACACATGAGGCTTATCACTGATGATATCTTTAATTATACCAAGGCAAAACTGGAGACCATCTAAGGGGAAATACAGATTACTTGTTAAAATTATTAACAGAGTTAATGTGCTTACATTTGTTTATGTGTACTGGAATCAGCTCAAATATTTGACTGCAATGATAATAAGTGTAAAGATCAATTAAAAGTCATAGAGATGAGATATTAGATTTCCAGACCTTAATAGGATTTCATCTGCACTTGCTATATTATGTTATACAATTATAATTGAGCTTCTGTCAAATCACAGAATCTGTCACCTCACCAATTTATTTTCCAAGCACTAATGAAACTTATTTCCTGTTGAGAATGCTTTTAAAAGCATAACCCTGAGGAAGGGAGGTGCACATGGGCCAACTGGCTTCTATTTACTTAGCAAACTTAAGTAAAAGCTTGGCCATAAGTAAAATGAATTTGACAGCGTTAGGAGGGTCCTTAGTAGCCATTTGTTCTTATTATAAAAAGCATGTAAGTGCTCTCAAAAGGAATTGTAAACAACATATATAACTCACGCTCACTTTGAGTCACACATCAGATTAATTCTCTGCCTCTTTATTGTTAGGTAGTCTAGCTAGAGGCAGGGTTAATATAATATTTTCCTCTGAATTTTCCTTATTTTTCCCCAAATTGCAATCATGCATTGAATTATAAAACAAATTTCTCTGAAAAAAAAATATACAGTGAGGTAGCTTTCACTTGATAAAATGTGAATTCTCATTCCACTTTTGTTTAGAAAAGTAAAAACAATATCTAGAGACTGCAGTGTAATGCAGTGATAAGATGGCAAATTCCAGAATGACAGAAGTAATGATACTCTTCAGAAACACTCTCAAAGCTCCTGTAATAATAATCTTATGCACTTCATACTGGCTTGAGATAGTATAGCCACGAGTGAGAAACGGATGCTTGGCCTGGGGAGTAAGGAATGGAATTCCTTAGAATCCTTTATTTATGGACAATCCCAAGGGATCCTAGAGATCCTGTGACTTGGCCCTCAACCGGAAACCCTTACAGGACAGATATATGGCTAGATCCACTTAAACATATCCACAAGTAAGGAGCTCACCTTATTAAAACAGTTGCCAGACAACTGTCAGAAGTTCTTTGGGCCTTGCTCATGTCTGCCTCCTTGTATAATAATTTTAATCCTACTATCTGAAGCCATGCAGTCACTTCTGTTCAGTCTAGAAGCATATACGCTGCACCCCTCTGTGCCCAACAGAAACGTTGAATAGGTGGAGCTCAGCGGCTCTCCTAACTCTCACCTCGAGGTTGTGGTGGAGAATAACTGGGCTGATAAACACTCTCAGGCCTCTTCAAACCCCATAATACAAGGCATGTATTTCATAGAATGTCTTTACTTACTATATTTTGTCAACATAATGTTTTAATTGATGGACTCCTAGCTGGTCACTCTTTCAAATGGAGACAATAAAACTAATCAAAACATTTTAACAGCTATGCTGCTCTAAATATTTGAAAATCTCTCTCATGCTTTCCCTTCCCTCTACCCCTTCAAACTAAATGTGCTCAATTTTCTTAATGCTCCTCTTAAAGAGTGTTTCCTGAGGGATACTAGTCACCCTTCACATCCAATCATCACTGAATCTTGTTGAGCATCCCTCCTAAATATCTCTTCATCCCATAGGCCTGCCCTGGTCCAGGCCATGGTCATCTGCCATCTGCTGACCGCAGAAACTTCCTTATGCCTCTCTGTGCCTCCATCCTTGCTGCCCTCCAATTATTACTGTAGACTGTCACCAGAGTGGTCTTTCCAAAATGTGATTCTCACCATGCCACACCCCTGCTGAAAACCCTCAATAGCTCCCTGTTGCTCTGAGCATGAAGTTCAAACCCTTTATCACCTCTACCATAAACTCTTCATAGTCTCATCTCTCCTTAACTTCTTCCTTCTCAGCTCTCTCCAGTCTCCCCTGGAAATATTAGCCCTTAGGCATAGAACTCTCTATCTTGCCTCTAGGCCTTTGCCCATGCTATTCCCTGTGCCTGAAACATTGTCTCCTAAGGCTTCACGCACAAGTCCATCACCTGGCTAGCACATGCTTCCAGTCTTGGCTTAGATGGCATTTCTTCAAGGTCATCTTTCTGACCCTTAGGATGCCCAGCCCTGCACTCCAAGGCACACCCTGCATTTCCCCAGGCCTCATGCTTATCACACATCTTTGTCAATTACTTATTACGCTGCCTCTCTTCCTCACTAGAACATTAGTTTTCCAAAGGCAAAACCCATGTCATCTTGTTTACTGCTGAACATGCAGAGCTTAGCGTGATGCCTGTCATAGAGCAAATACTCAGTAAATAACTTTGGAGGAAAAAAGGAGGGAGAAAGAGAGGGAGAAAAATGGAGAGAAGGGGAAATGCCACCTGCCATTCGAAATCTTACCCACAGCTAAGCACAGTATTCTACCTAGGATCCGCTAAGAAAAGTGAGAAGGGAGGCCAGGCAGTTAGCTGGATCTGAGGATGCTGTCCCCTGAAGACACAAAGTTCTAAGGAAGTTTACATCATTTATCTTACAAATATTTATTAGGCATTATGTTATTTTAAAATTTTCATATCATCCCAGCACTTTGCGAGGTCAAGACAGGCAAATCACTTGAGGTCAGGAGTTCGAGACCAGTCTGGCCAACATGGTGAAACACCATCTCTACTAAAAATACAAAACTAGCTGGGCGTCGTGGTGGGCCTGTAATCCTAGCTACTCAGGAGGCTGAGGCAGGAGAATTGCTTGAACCTAGGAGGCAGAAGTAGCAGTGAGCAAGACTGCACCACTGCACTCCAGCCTGGGTGACAGAGTGAGACTGCCTCAAAAAAAAAAAAAAAAAAAAAAAAATCCCATCATAAATACGGTTTAGAATGGTAGCTTAGGATTAATTATAGAGCCAGAATGTCTACATTTCAATCATAGTTTCAGCACTTAATGTGTGACGTGAGGCATGTTATTTAACTTTTCTGAGTCTCATTTTTCTCATCTGTAAAATGGCAGTTATAGTAAGGACACTTCAGTAGTTGTGATGACTAAAGTAACTCATACATGTAAAGCCCTTAGAACTGGACCTGCCTCATAGTAAGTGCTTTCCTCTCTTCATATCCAGACACCAAGGAAAGGCCACGTGAGCACACAGGGTGAAGGCAGCCGTAAACAATCCAGGAGCAAGGCCCTCGCCAGACACCTAATCTACCAGCACCTTCATCTTGACCTTCCCAGCCTCGAGAACTGTGAGAAATAAATGTCTGTTGTTAACCCACCTACCCTAGGGTATTTTGTTATGGCAGCCCAAGTGACAGTCATGAACTGCTCTGCCTCCGTTTCTGGATCTGTGAAATGGTATTAGCAGTGGCTGTGTCTCAAGATGATTGTGAGAGTTGAGCCCAGTATGTCATCTGTGTCATGACTCGGAGGGGAAGGCACATGGAATAGAACCTGGAGCCACTTACTGGTGCTAGACTCCTGGGCGCCTCCAGTTTGAGACCGAGTTTCTTCATTTATAAAATGAGAAAGATAACCCCTGCTGATCCTGTTTCTAAAAATTGTTCCAAGGAATCAATGAGACAGTACTAGTGACTCAAATGACACCTTATATTTGTTTTAAAAAATTTAATAAAAACAGAAGCTACAGTTTTGATATCCCAAGGCTAACCACTCACGGCCATGTAGCCAAAACTTCAGTCATCATGATTTCCCAGAAACAATAGTTTTAATTAGAAGCAAAACACAAAATGTGAGCTTTTTATCTTTGTTGGCATAATTCAGTGAAATTAAACCAATCATCTATGGACGAATCAGCTTAAACTGCTCTATTTGACTTTAAAAGAACATTAATGTATAAGAATGAATCACAAAGAAGTCCAAAATACTTCCTCCTTTATGCTTTATAGGCTGTGCTGTAACTACTGTAAGCCAGGCTTCTTACCAGTTTTGGTTCAAAGTCTCCCAGTGCTTAAACTGTTCGTTTGTATGCATAACAAACTTTTAAAAAGTTTAACTTGCTTTGATTTCACTTTTGGCATATTAAATAAATATATAAATATTATAACATAATGTCAACATAAATTTTATAATATAAATTATTATATATACATTTAAGAATACAATAATATTAATGGTAAGTGTAATTTTGTGAACACAGACCATATAAATAGCACTATGTTTACTATTTTAGGTTTGTGATATTGCTTCTTAAAAGAGAACATCTACTGTTTATTGAGGTCTCTCGTTGGCTGGGCTCTGTGCGAGGTGCTCCCTTGCTCTAAAAGTAAACCCTGGAGAGCTCTCCTGTGTCATCTTCTTCTTCTTCTTATAAGGGCACTGATCCCATCATGAGGGTCCACTGTTGTGATCTAATCTAAACCTAATTATTTGCCAAAAACTTTACCCCCAACACTATCACCTTAGAGGTCAAGGCTTCAATATATGAGTCTTAGGAGACACATACATTCAGTTCATAACGACAACTTTGCCCGAGGTTGCCTTGCGGGCCAACTGCAATGCTTATATGCTCTCAACACACTCACTTCACCAGTGGTCCCAAGAGCATCAGACTTCCTTAGGAAGCACAGGGAGCTTCTCAACTCTTGAGACTCCAATTCAGGTCTAGAATGTGATCCAGAAATCCAATTTTACAAAGCTCCTCAGTAACCCTAAGTCAGTGATTAGGAACCACTGAATACCCACTTCAATGTGATGGGCCTGCTTCTGTAGAACCCCAAGCATCCAAAGGATAGAAGGCTGGGATCAGGGCCACACCAAAGACAAACTCTGCCCTCCTCACCATTTTTCCCAGGGCTGACTCAGCTATTTCCTACACCTTTATTGAGCTCCAATTCTTTAGAGTTGAATCGTCAGCAAAAATTTAGTGTTATCTATTGAATTTCAGCAGAGCTCGATTCCCCTGACATGCACTGTTTGTTTAGACTTATTCATCTCTCTTTTGATCTATTAGTGAAAACATTGTTTAAAAAGGAACATTGCTGATCACTGAGGGTGCTATTTGCTTTAAAATTTGCCCTCCAAGCCATGGACATGGGTATGCTTTAGTGTTGTTGAAAGCATCATAATGTGCACAATTCTTGGGGAGGATGAGAATACCTGTTACCATATTTCTATGCTGCACTTAAAATGCTGGAGTGGTATCGGATACACTGTCACAGAAACTGCTCTCCAGCCTCCAGTGACTTGCATGGAATATGGACAAATGAGGACTGCAAGCGAGCCTTAGGAACACCATGGTTACAACTGTAGTTTAAACCCATAAACCACAAATGCATGTCTGACCAGAATTAAAAAGGATCTGAGCATTACATCCTCCTAAGTGGATTCCTCCATAGAATAATGTTGGAGAAGAGTCTAGCCCCGAGTACTTAACTTTGCAATTCAAAAGAGTTGTGACTTAGCTTCCCTTATATAACATGGGCAGCTTTTCATTATGTTTATTTGATGCAGTGTTATTGAGGCAATATTTCATATGAATAATTCATTTCTACTCCAACTTTATCTAGCAAAGTCAAAAGCAAAATCCTAAATTTCAAAATAGATCAAAGAGTTTTTTAAATAAAAGAAATGCCTTGAGTTGCCCTCTCTCTGGATCTCCCTGTCTCGTCTAGGCATTAAGCAAGCACTTACTATGGGCGACTGGGTACTGAAGTTGTTAAACGTTCACAGCTCTCCCTGCATTTTCTTTGGCGAAGATGAATCTTAGTGCCCCAGTTTTGCACTGTTTCCTCTTGTTCTTATCCAGAAATCGGGTTCTATGAGAGCAAATTACAGCTGAGTAATTTGTTTTTTACATATTTTTAACTTTGGTTGTGCGTGCCTGACTTTCTGAGATCGTCGTAGCCCTGATTACCTTCTGTTCCACTGGGCAGTCTGATGAACACAGCAGGCAAGCTGTGGTGAATAAAACAGAGCAATTACATTTGGATGCTCAAGACTGCCAGCTGCCTGGGGATGCCTCACCACAGCCTCTCCATTGTGGTTATCCTCCTTTCAGATCTTACCAAGTCATGCAAGAAAGTCGCCCTTCAAAATGATTGACATCCAAAGAATTGCCTTGGCTTTATCCAGACACAGGAGCTGCAAACAAGAGTGGAGCAGAGAGAAAAATTAAACATGGGAAAAAAAAAAAAGAAAGTATTCAGAATCACTGAATCATACTTAAGCATACTTTTTCATAAAAATAATTTTAGGCCAATGGGAGAAAAATAAAAATAACTAAAAGATCATTAAAGTCATCAAAGAAAACTTACTTCATGCATGACTGTGTTGGAAAGAACCTCTGGGGCAGTAATTTGGCCATTTCACTGCTTCTGAGAGGGAGATCATCTTTTCTGGCTGGGGCAGGTAGACATTTGGGGAAGAATATAGAGACAAGAGTATCAACACAGGAGTCAGAAAAATCTAGCTTTAATTTCTACCTGGGCCACTTACTAAGTATGGGACTGCTGTGGTTTAGATATAGTTTGTTTGTCCTACCAAAGTTTATATGAAAATTTGATCCCTAGTGTTGGGAGATGGGGCCTAGTGGGGAGGTGTTTGGGCCATTCAGACAGATCCCTCATGAATGATTTGGTGCTGTTCTATGGCAGTGAGAGCTCTGGCTCTGAGGAAACTGGATTAGTTCCATCAGGAATAAATTAGTACCCATGAGAGTGGGTGGTTATAAAGCCAGGATGCCCTTGAGTTTTACCTCTTTCCACCATATGTCCACTTCCGCTTTGACCTTCTCTGCTGTGTTATGACACAGCATAAAAGCACTGGCCAGGCCGGGCGCGGTGGCTCAAGCCTGTAATCCTAGTACTTTGGGAGGCCGAGACGGGCGGATCACGAGGTCAGGAGATCGAGACCATCCTGGCTAACACGGTGAAACCCCGTCTCTACTAAAAAGTACAAAAAACTAGCCGGGCAAGGTGGCGGGCGCCTGTAGTCCCAGCTACTCAGGAGGCTGAGGCAGGAGAATGGCGTAAACCCAGAAGGCGGAGCTTGCAGTGAGCTGAGATCACACCACTGCACTCTAGCCTGGGCGACACAGCGAGACTCCGTCTCAAAAAAAAGAAAAAAAAAAGCACTCGCCAAATGCCAGGGCCATGCCCTTGAACTTTCCAGCCTACCTGCAAAACCATGATCTAAATAAACCTCTCTTCTTTATAAGTTACCTAGTCTCAGGTATTCTGTTATAGCAACACAAAATGAACTAAGACAAGCGGCTGGGGCAAATTCATATGCATTTCTGGGTCTCTATATTAGGAGAATAATGCTATGCACTTTTTGAGATGTTGGAAAAATGTAAATATGTTTAAGTGTCTAGTACATAGTAGGAACTGGTAACTCTTATTCAGCAACCTTGATTATTAACAGTTTACTCTTCAGAATTATGTTAAGATGTTCTAGTGTGCTCTACTGTTGCCTAGTCAACACTACATGTTGAAGATGAATGAAAATATCCACTCCAAAAACATATTCCTTTAGCTGGTTGATTTGTGAAGTAAATATTCCATAGTTGTCCAACCTATAGGCAGAGCCTGGTTCCATGATGGTGGCTTGAAATAATATATACTAATTTCCCATAGTCCCTTTCAGCTAAGCATAAACAAAAGTTGTTGGAGACTTCCTGGGAGAAATTATTTTCCTGATAAATTAAAGAGAAATGTGAGGAGAAAACTCTTTTCTACTCTCTCTTCTTTCTGTCATCTAAGGATATCCTTCAAACTGCTGTAGCCATCTTAAGTCTTGAGGAAAAAGCCAAAATAGGTTCTAACTTTGCTCACTAACATTGTTGAGCTACTGAACTAACCCTGCAGTGACCTAGTGCCAGCTTCTTGTCATGTGAGATAATGAAATGCTTTTACTATTTAAACCATTCATTATTTATAACTGAACAAGCACAGCTCTTGTTTCCTTGTCTTCCCAGAACATCAAGAGACTCTTTCCATTTTGTACTTGAGTAACTGAGCAGGCATATGCAGGTATTATTTATGAATAACACTAATTCATTTTCAGGGAAGTTGGGTAGCTCATCCAATGTCACAACCATGAAGTGGCAGAAAAGGGAACCTAGGCCAGTCTGCCTCCAAGGCCCATCTCTCCAGCATACTATAGCTACACAAGTAGCTATTAGCCGGTCTGATAGGAAAGATGTTAAGTTGGTGAATGTGATTTTCTATCTTTCTTTTCAGTTTATATACTGAGCTGTGTAACTGCACATCTCCACACTTTGACCTCTCTGAGCAACCTCATGTTCTGAACCTTTCCCTTCTTCTTCCTCCTTCCCATCAAAATGTGCCTTTCCTGGATTCCACTTTCTGAGGAAGCCAATACACTTTATAAGGTTAAAACTAGATAGTTAGTTAAGGGCATTATTTTAATGGGATCCTAGATGGAGAATGCCTTCAATGTAAGTTCTCAATACTCTAGTGGACCAGAAGAGGAGATGGTCCTTTTCTATCACAAGGTCAGATACTTCCTCATGCACAAAGGTCTGGTTCTTCCATAAAAGCTAGCTGAGATTCAGAGCATGCCTAGAATTCATGTATTACTTAAGCAGGTGCTTATTAAGTGCTTCGCTTACTATACCAGCAATATTCTAGGTGCTAGGAATATAGCACTAAATAAAGCACACAAATTTCCTCCTTTCATGACATTTAAATTCTAGTTGGTGGAGGGGGGAGATAATTAACAAATAAATATCTAGAATTCAAGTGGTAAAAATGTTATAAAGAAAAATAAAGTCAGGTAAAGAGGATAGATTGGTGGAAGTGGACTGTCTCATCAAGAGTGATCAGGACACACTATATAAGGAACAGAAGTAAATGTTAACAGCACGACAATAGAAAAGTCATGGAAGAAGACAAGTCAATGGGAAAGGAGAGACAAAGGAAACTACAAAAAGGCTAATACTCTCTTCTTACAAAGTGGGAAATCAAGAAATGCTGCAAAAATGAACCGAACAAAAAAGAGGACTTTACTGTATTACTTAACGTTCTAAAGTAGAAAATGAAGTCTTGAGAGAAGAAAGCGTAGGAGAAGGAACACTGTAAGGGACTAAATCTTCTTTTTCACTTCTAGGAGTCAGTAGAAACTGTGAAATTGGCAAAATAGGTTTTATCTCACATACTCATTTTCACTGATCATTGGTGGCTGCCTGGGGCCTTCTTGAGTAGAACTTCATATACAAGGCCCAACTCATTGAGACAGTGTGCTGTGATCAGTTAGTGCTATCTGCCCAGGTACAGAAAGGATCAACGACATCATGTATATCATCTCCACTTGCAGCAACACTGGGTCATCTGAGTACAGAGGGCGAAGAGAAAGCATTAGCAGCAGAAAGAATGGGATATATCAGATTATAGAGAAACACAACGGTGAGGGGCTTAGTAATACAATAAATTCCTATGTGAGGCTTTTTGTTTAGATTGACAACATTCTGAAATATACAAAGGAAATAAGCCATAGAGAAGACTGACCAAAAAATAGAGGTTTATATCTGTATTGTGTAAGAGTTGGGTGTCTTAGTTTTCGAATCCTGCCTTTCCCACGTCTTACAGAAGAATTTAAGCAACAGAGTTTTGAAGACAAGTGCCTCCCTTGGCTGGATTGTATCCAGTGACTCATTTAAAGTCAGTGAAATGTATTTTGGGTATTGGAAACCTTCGATGGAAAAAACTTACCATTGCTCCAATAAAGCCCTCCCTGCTGTACCAATTACCTAAACAGAGGAAGCCGAGATAGCACGGTCCCAGCTGTACCATCACGCCAAATCCTGGGAACACAAGCAAAGCTTGAAGTCTTATCTCTACTTAAATCATGTGGAGTCTGGTGACTTTGCTGGTCTCCTGCTCAGCTGCAAACCATGTGAAACCCTGAGCAGTCTCCCTTGGTGGCTAATGTCTCTAATAAAAACACAACCCCCAGCCTGTGTCAGTGTTCCCAAGGACTGGCATTAAATAAAGAGGATAGGAACCCTCGTGGTTATCAGAAGGGCACAGTTAGAGAGCTGTCTGCTCACTAAATGAAGCAAGAATAAAGCTTCATATTCTTTATGAAGTACAAGTACCCTAAGTACTTCCTCACCTTTTCATGAAGCAGTATCCAAAGAGGTGACTATTGCAAAGAGTCCTATGCTAGAGTTCTCATTCACACCCCAGCTCTGAAACCTTTATGTATTCGTCCAACCAATATTCACCCTAACCCTGTGCTGAATGATGAATGACCCAGTCACCCCCACCCCTGTACACCAGGCTCCACCAGTAACCAGAGCACCACACTCTGCAGTGTCAATTCCAACAGGCATGGATTGTTTCTGAAGTGCCAGGCAGGTCTCCCTCTGCTGAGGATTTCATTGCACATGCAGGATGATCAGAGGATCTTTGACTCCAACCAACTCTCCCACCTGGTCCAGGAATCCTAAATTAAAGACTCATTTCTTAGGTTCCTTATTAAATGCCCCTTTAGAAATGGCTCAGCACAGGTATCAGCCATTAACACCTTAGCATGACATGTTTCCAGATGAGAGCCTACTGTGTGCCAAGGGCTGTGGCAGGTGACTTATTTAGACTCTATAATCCTCAAAAACATTCCAGTAAGGTCTAATAAGTTAATATAAATATATACACATGCACATACATGCACATTTTTTGAGGACCTACTATGTACATTGTACTCAGCTGCTGAGCAGGTGAAGAATGGTTTGGTGTGCAGTAAGGGTAAACCATGTACAGCCCTGAGCACCATGTAGTAATAGTGATAAGATGCATATATTAAGAAAATACAATATACAGTGAATGTATTGCCATGACCAAGGCACAAAGTACTATGTTTGGGATTTAGATGTGCTACAGAAAGAACAGGAAGGGTGTTCCAGGCTGGGACATAGCCATTCATTCACCATGTACTTATTCAGTATAAACAGACTCACTTATACTAGAAACTATGCTGGACCAAAGAGTTTAAGCTGAGAAAAAACAGGATACGTGTGGAATATGTGTGCAGGTGAGAGGCAAAAAAAAAAAAGAAAGAGGGAGAGAGAGAGAGAGAGAGAGAGAGAAAGCATGTGTAGAGATCTGTAAGTAATTCTATCAGGATGGGAAGCATAAAAGGGAGAAATGGGATATAAAATTAAAAAGATCATGAAAGGTTTTGTATGTTATATTAGACAGTTTAGAGCTTATTCTACAGTCAACAAGGAGCCATAGAAGGTTTAGAGCTGGAAATTGATGTAACCAGGGCTCTGTTTTATAAAGACTAACTTGACAATATATGGAAGAAATTAACTAAAGATAAATATGGTGGGAGACCATCAAGGAAATTACTGAGTGCCCTAAGAGAGATAAGAGCATGAGCTCTTATCAGTGGAAACACAGGAAACAGAGAGAGAAGGGTAAATGCTGGCACCATTGGATTCTGAAATTGGCAACATGAGCAATAAGCCCAACTTCTGGGTCATATTACTACCAAGTAGACTGTACAGGGCCTGGCATAGAGTAGCCTCAGGATAAGTGTCAGAGTATAAATAAATGGATGAAGGCAGGACAGGGAGGAACGAAAGATGACTGATGTTTGAGGCTGGATGTCTGTGAATGCTTTTTGGAACAGGTTTGAGAAAACAAACCATCATGGATCAATGCCATTGACCGAGAAAGATGGGAGATAAGAAAATATCTAGATCTAGATCACAGGGCTTGGTGAAAACACACAAGGGGTCTGTGACTTTAACAAGAGAAGGCAGTAAAGGAGAAGAGCAAGGAGCTGCTGCTCAGCTGCCTCCTAGAAAAGGTGTACAGAGTTGAGAACCTGTGGTTTTGGGGGGTAACTGACCCCCTGAGGACTATCAGGGGCAAAGGAGGTTGATAATCACTGCATCAGGACAAGTCCTGGCATGAGGCACTGGTTACAAAGATGGATTTTGCAGTCAGAGAAAATTCAGACAAGCCTGTACAGGAATTCTGATTATGCCACTTAGTAATCAGGTCACACTATTAGAACATTCCGGGCCTTGATTTGCTCACCATTAAATAGAGATAATGTTACCAAATGAGAGTTCTTTAGAGACTGGATGAGATGGCATATGTCCACCAAAAACTCACTCTCCCCCAAAACTTGCAGAGTGTGAGTTGTTACTGGGAGGAAACTGCTTAGCCAGGCATTGCATTTCTCAGTCCCCTTTGTGGTCAGGTATGACCATATTCCGAGTCTTAGGAGAAGATGGGATTTTTAAAGAGCAGGAGAACCTTCTCCACATACTTTTCTCCAATCACTTGACTGTATGCAGAGGCATCTGGGGACCTGGGGGAGAGTGGGCAGCACCACAGACAAAGCCTGAGTTGCCAACCATCCTGTAGAAGAAAGCCAGCCTGAGATCATAGCTCTGGCATCAGACAGTCATGTGAACAAGAAATAAGCCTCTATGGGGTCAAACCACTGTAATTTTGTGATTTATTTGTTACGGCAGGAGGGCTCATGCTAACAAATGCAGCAAGGATTACAACTTAAATAACAGATAAAGCATGTAGCTCTTTATCTCCTCCTGGTAAGTACTCAATAAACGTCAGCCAGAAGGAAAAAGAAAGAAGAAAGAAACAGAACTTGTGATGATGAGCAGAGACCCTGGCTCACAGCCTTCCAGGGAGCTCTAAGATCCAGGACATCCAGCTCCTCTTTCTTTCCTTTGACACGTGAGACGTATATTTTGACCTAGTGGAAGTAGAGATATATTTCTCATCTAAAGACAAGAATATTTTATAGGAATAAAGGAATGAATGACTCACTGTATGTGAGAGAGTTCATGGGCCTCCTGAACCCTATCTTTGTACAACCTGTACATGTGCATATGTGTGCCAGTGTGTGTGCACGTGTGCGTGCGTGCGCGCGCACACACACACACACACACTCACCCATCTCATCTCCCCATTTCCAGTCCAGGTAAAGAATCTTTGGCTTGGCATTTGGAGCTGCTGACAGTCTCCCGTATCTGGCCCTACAGTTCACCATCCAGGCCTCTTCCCTGTGGTAGGTAGAATAACGGCCCTCAAAAGATGTCCATATCCCAGTCCCCAGAACCTGTGAATATGTTGCCTTATGTAGCAAAAGGGACCTGGCAGGTGTGATTAAGTTAAGGATTAGCCTGGATTAGCCAGGTGGGCCCAATGTCATCATAGTGTCCTTATAAGTGAAAGTGGGAAGGAGGTGGGTCAGAGTGAGAGGAGATGCAATGATGGAAGCAAAGATCAGAGAATCAGAAAGAGATTGGAAGATGCTATCCTTCGACTTTGAAAATGGAGGAAGAAGCCAACAGCCAAAGAATGAAGGTGACCTCTAGAAGTTGGAAAAGGTAAAGAAATTGATTTTCTCATAGCTTCCAAAAGGAACAAGCCCTGATGACACCTTGACTTTAGATCCACAAGACTGATTTGAGACTTCTGAACTCTAGAATTGTAAGATAGTAAATGGGCACTATTTTAAAGCTACTATGTATATGGCAATTCATTACAACAGCAATCAGAAACTAATACACTTCCCCAGAACCAGCCCCAGAGGTGCAGCTGCTGGTCTCTTCCTTGCTTTGACTTGCCACACTTGCCACACTGAGATAAGATGCCACTCTGGACTTACAAGCCTTAGTCCCTAGAGCTGAGAATCAAGTCCCAATTCTGATGTGCAGAGCCCCTTCACAGCACAGCTGTCCAACCCCGTGATCCAGCCATTATCCATCACGGGCCAAACCAACCATGACAGTGCAGTAGATAACTACCAGCTCTATTAAGCTGGGAAATGACTTCTCAGCAACCTAAAGGATTTCACAGTCATCAGATTACTAGTCCATTACCGGGAAGAATTGACATTTTTTCTTTAATTCTTCACCAGGTAGCCAATTAGGCAGAGGACATCATCAGATAATACTATTTTTATTGCAATTTCTATGTCCATTAAAATTGTTTCTTGTGTTCAACAATATAATGGGTGAGTTTCCAAATTTACTTCGTGTTTTAAAAGATTATAATAAGCACATAATGGCTCAAGAAGTAGGATCAGGCTGTTCTTATCCTCCTTCCATTGCTGAAACAGGTGTGTCAGGCAGGGGTTTGTTACGGGCTGAATTGTGTCCTCGCCACAAAATTCATTTGTTGAAGTCCTAATCCCCAGTATTTTAGAATGTGACAGTACTTGGAGACAGGGTCTTTAAAGAGGTAATTAAGATTAAATAAGCTCATTGCGGTGGGCTCTGATCCAATATGACTAGTGTCCTAATAGGAAGAGGAAATCAGGCCATTAACACAAAAAGAGAGGGAGG